GTTGTAACACTATATTTGAAGATAAAAGATAATATATTCTGACATTATTAACAAACGATAGGTTGTTAATTAATTCACGCATAATGTTTACTCGTTTTATACAAAAAAGAAAGTACTCTCTTGTTTTCTGTCAATAAAACATTAAATAACAATTTGTTGTTGTTATTTTAAAAATTTATAGCTAAAGCTAGTGTGTATCACGTCACGTCACGTTTGATTTCTCGAAATAGGAGGAGTCATGAAAGTCAAAATGCATTTATACAGACAGAATAGCTCGATAACTGTCTACCCATTATTAGTTTAGTGACGGGGTGCCGTAAAACCTTATATGCGTAGTGAATGTTGGTATAATAAACCTAAAGCAAAGATATATAGCCTAGAGCCAAGTGCATAAAATTTATCGTGAAAGTAAAAATACCGATTCAATTTTAAACTTAAATCGTTTCGGAATTAAGCTATTTACTGTTATATCACCAACGTTTTTAATAACATCGACGAAGACTCTAAATTAAGAAATCAACAAATATTTTCCACTTGTGCAGCTAATAAAAGACAGTGAAAATTCAAGATATAGTCGTCAAATTGATTTCATCGCTTTGAATGCGTTTCCTCCTGTGTACAGTGAGAGTAATCTATTGGAAAACTTGCTTGCAAAGCAATAAGTAAAAAATACAAATATGTATGTTATTAAATATTCTATTTTGTATAGAGAAGTTCAAAATAAATAGTTATATATGCCTGCTTTCTTTATAAGTTATATACTCTCTACGTAGGGGGTTAACTTATTGCCATAAATCTTAACGTTTAATACTTCTTTCGTGATCGAGCTTTATCTAAACCATGAATTGGGAAAAGTCAGTGCGCATGTTCGCTTATAACTGGCGAACCGCTAAGGTGATCTTCACCAAATTTGGAGTGAATAATTTTCGAGGACAAAGGCGTCATCTGATAGGTGCAAATTGCAAGTTAACTCAATTATGCATCCCCCTGGGAGCCCCTATTTCTTCTCCGTGCGTTGAATGGGTATGTCAGCTAGCAATATCTAAAGATTTATAAATGTTTACGTAAGCCATTATTTTCATTTCATTATTCTGTGATTTCCCATATAATATTTTTGATAAAATCAAAGACAACTTAATTTGAACATTTATGCTTAAATATCTTATAATGATTAACTCGACATTAAATAATTCACAGAACCGTAAAGAGAATACTTCGTTTTAAAGTATTATTATTTTTAGACTAGCATTTATAAGCTAGCGATAAGTACAAAATGTATACTTTTCTTAATACAAAGACATATTTCTTATTTTTCCTTTTTCCCCTTTAGAATGTCCTACATGGTGGACATATTGATAAGTTTTAGTGTTGGCATAATCGTAAATAAAAACCCGAATATATCGTAACCTACAATTCCCTTTTAGGTATTTAAAACTTAAACTCTTTTTCTGTTTGTTTTTTTAGCAAAGGATGGACCACAAATATCTGGATTAAAGTCAAATTATGAACTTGGAGACAAAGTTAATGCCAATTGTAGTTTGCCAAAGGTTGTTAGTCCTCCTATCCTGAGATGGTATGTCAACAAAGAAGAGGTAGGAATTTTACATTTTCATAGCAGTAACATATATAACATACCATAATTTGGCAATGGTGCCTCACTTCACATGCGTTATAATACCAAGTTTCCAAAACTTGAAGTAAAATTATATTGCAAGTTTCACATATATGTTTTACTTAAATTAGGCTTAGATATAGATTACAGTATACAGTACGTTATTCAGGTTAAGTATGTTTTACTGAAACACTCAAAATCTACCACTTGGTCATATTTCTATATTTCTATTACTGCAAAATAGCCCTACAACGCAATGAACAGTGGGTGCGTTATACCAGTGAGGTCAAATCCCAGTATTCAATTAAAGTAGACCAAGAGCTGGCGATGGATGCTGTTCACTAGTGGTCTCTAGATGTTTCTGTTTCTCATACTGTTCCAATATTTCTTGACCTTACGAACCATTTACTGTACTGATACTGACTGAAGCTTATTTTGACCTAGATGTATTACTGATTTTAAAAAAGATCCCCCCCCCCGAAAAAAACCTGGGGACGCCCCTGACATTATAAGCTTAAGTTAGCTACCCTAATTTTTGTCTAACAATTGTATTCATGAAAAATCCAGTAGAAACGTTTCTAAAACTAGTGACTAAAAACAATTTGAGAATTAATACAATCAAAAGATTAACATATTAGCAGTAAAAAAGTTAGTAAGTGAAAACGGAGTGCGAGAAATAAACCTTTGAAAGTAGCGGAGAAACCAGGAAAATTGAAAACTTTTCATCAGAATTATTTATGGAAAGTAATCAAAATAATTAAATTAATGAGAAGGTTATTCCTGTTTTTTGGAATTAGATAATAAAATTGAGAGTTCTTAGTTAAGGATGTGGGATACTTTTAGGATTAGGGTTTAGTAACGAGAGGGGGTTACTCAGTAAAGGTATTGAATGAAGAGAATAGAAGTTATTCAGTTTAATGAAATTGATTGAGACGTAGAATGATCAGTAAATGAAAAAAAAAAGATATGTTATAATTTTCAGACTGTTTTTGTGGAATTTTTGATGGTGTTTTTATTGGGGATTTAAATGAAAGTTTCAAAATAGAGTTGTCATGGAGATGAGAAGATAAATGCTAAATATAATTGTTATTATGACTCAGATAAGAGCGGCTATTTGAGGAATTAAAAGATACTTTTATATGTAATTCCAGCTTCAGAAGTTGGTGTTATCCAGTTAACTACTTTTTCGCTGAGAGTAGGCGATAGCTACTATAGGCTGGTTTTAGATAACATTACTCTCTTTCAGTCACATAAAGATTCGACCATTGAGAACTTGGAAGCTTAACGTTAAACTTCGGGGTTCGATCCATCACTGCAGTAGGCTCAGTATAAACAGCCCATTGTACAACGATGCGCTTAAAACAAAACAAGCTTACATAATTCTCAGACTCCTGGATGATTTATTCTTAGTTAAAAGTGATACTTAGAACGGAATAACTGTTGCTTAACAATAGTTTCTTGTTTTGAATCCATGAAAATATTTTTTGCCAACAAAACAATTAAAACTTTGCGCAAAAAGAGCAAGATCACAAAAACATTTCTATAACCGAAGAAGCATAATCATATCCCCGCAGTCTTTTTAACTATTACACAGCTCATCTTTAGCAATGTGCCCCACCTCCCATATAGACACTCAGTAGATATAGTGTGTTTCACTTTACGCCCCACCTCCCATACAGACACTCAGTAGATATAGTGTGTTTGACTTTACGCCCCACCTCTCATATAGACACTCAGTAGATATAGTGTGTTTGACTTTACGCCCCACCTCCCATACAGACACTCAGTAGATATAGTGTGTTTGACTTTACTTTCACTTATACGTTCTTAGAACTGGTGTCCACTTTGGTCTGCACGAAGGAACATCACACCTACACTGGGGCTATGTTAAACTCCATTTAATTTAGTTTAAATTAAGCAATTATTGGTGAAAGCCACGAACGTGTCAGATAACAATAAATATGAACGCACAGTCAGATGACCATATCTGGTTTTGAAAATTAAAATATATTAGAAACGAAATCCTGCGCTTAAAAAGATTTCTGTCACTGAACGAGGAAAATCCACAATTTTAACTGAACTATCTTTCATGAATCTAAAAGCGTGTGCATACCTCAACCTTTAGGTATAAGATAACGTTAGTGTAGAAAACCATGACTGCGAATGCTGATTTTTTTCAGTGCAAAGAACTATAGAGCTTCAAACCAATTATGAAAAATTCAGTAGTTGTAAATAACAATTCGATATTTCCTGAAAGTACACGAAAAGAAGTACCATAGAAACTTGCCACTAATCAAGGTATAATAATGAGTATACATCTATACTATAACATCTAGAATACAGGACAAGTAACAAAATTAGTTATTATGCTATGTCCTCAGGCACAACACATCAATTTAGTCTTGACGCTAAACCAATATCTCCTTTCGAGTTCTGTGTTTCTCACCAAGAATGTTCCGTGTCTTTCTTATCCTTAACTTTTGAAATGGATCGTTTCTCGCCTCTTTGTTTTATACTGATTTTCACGCTAGCTGTGAGAGTCAGGAAAAGGAAAGTAGGCCTACATGAAAAAAAAAAATATCCATTCTAGAATACTCAAGAATTAGTTGTGTGGAGAAAAATATAATAATATGGACAATAAAACACCTGTGACAAACAGTAATCTTCCTCTTAAAACTGTGTTGCTTAAACCACAGTAACATTTATTACAATTAAACACGCCAGTAGTAGTAATTTACAACAATTGTAGTAAGCAGTATCATTAAATCATAATTGAAGCATAAATAATGTTAGTTTGTTTCCTTAAAATACCACATAAAATACCACTGTTATCTCAGTCAATTCCATAAGAAAATAATTGTTATGAAGAGGATTTCAAGAAACGTGTAGAATCATGTAAACGAACACAGTTTTCAAAAGCTATTAGAAACATTGAATAAGGATAACGATCAATAGTAAGCAAAATTTATTATTATTTTCAATATTATCACATTTAATCATGATCGGTGCCCCCCAGTGGCACAGCGGCATGTCTGCTGATTTACAACGCTAGAATTCGGGTTTCGATACCCGTGGTGGGCAGAGCACAGATAGCCCATCGTGTAGCTTTGTGCTTAACTTCAAACAAACCATAATCATGATCGGCATAAATGTGGCGTGTTTACATATACACACTCTTAACTGTTTTAGCTCTCAATTCCTCTCTAAGAATTTTTTGGAACATCACCTGAAGAAAATATTCTGAAACCGTACTATAGTTAGACCTACTTTGCAAAAGAAGTAACGTTCAGTTTTAGCAGATGCGAACTAATGGTCGGTTGGAAATTGTTGTAAAAGAGGCTATTTGTAATTTACGTCTTAAAGTTTCAATAGTTTCGGTAATATATATACCATATTAACTAAAATTTATCATTTTTGTACGTATTGAAAATGTAATTAATACCTGGGATAATAATACTTTTACGTAAAGCTATTCTTCTTTACTGAATGTTGAAAAGTTTCTAAATTTCGAACCAATCTTACTGGTATACTTCTTCATTTACCATTCATTACCCGCTGAGGTCTACTTATTGCATCGTATAAGTTTATGTTTTTTGTTTCATCTTTGTTGTTGTTGCTTATTAGAGCTCTCACCTTAAAGAATTGTAAAAAGAATCGGGTATAATATACTCGTTTTCTATGTAAAATAGTATAACACTAATTAATGGAACTAACTGCAATATAAGAGGTATTTTTGTTTATACTTTTGAGTGACTATCTGTTATTAGGGATACTGTAATCAATAAAGTCATGAAAACACATGAAAAATTATTTGATGGATAAATAGTGTAAAAACTGTTAAAAGAAAAACGTCGATGGGGTCCGTATGGTCTTCTAATAGTAATTCTTATGTTGAAATCGTGGATTTCATAGTGGACAAGTAAGAACGAACAAATGATGAAACCATTGGCGTGAACGCAAAATATGTTTACTTTTTCTTTTATTGGCATTACATATTTCTAGTAGTATATCAAGTTTGATGAGATGCAGAAAATATACCAAAACATTTCAAGTGTTTAAATGGTATTTTATACTATGTTCAGAAATTTTGTTGCAGATGAAAAACAAAAGAATTTCAACCTCTAATTATTGTTTTATTGTATTCGTTATAAGTTGTCTACTTTCTTTAAGACATAAAGATAATACGAATGAAACGTGTGTGATATTACATGTTGATTTCTCTACATCAGAGTCACTTTTCTTAATAAGATAACTTATAGAGTATTCCTTATTTGTTTCTAGTAACATTTCCACTGCTTTATTTCACTTTGACAGTCCAAAAGCATATTTCCCATGATAAACATAACTTTGTATAGAGTTTTCTTTTTCTGCTTTATATGCATTTCTACGGTTCCCATGGCCTCACTAAAAAAGATCCAGGCCTTAAATTACTGTACATTATGAGTTTGAATGCATCGTTCTTTTGAACGTTAATGTTCTCTGTTTTTAGGTCATGCCTGACCAGTTAGATCAGTATCAGACTATTGAGTGTAAGGATGGTTATAAAACTGCTCTTCTGGGACTTCATTTTACGATCACAGAAAAACATTTCCGAAACGGAGAAATGAGACTAAATTGTACAGCCACATTTTCTAAAGTTATTGATAGAAGAGACGTAGATGCAGTTATAGGAACAAACCAGCAGAGCTCGGGACTGCAGTTATCTGAGAAAAAAACAAAAGGTGAGAATAGTTATATGGGAGTAGCAAATCATTACAAATATATTAGAAATACTGAAATGTTCAAAATACTTTTGTACTTTTAAGGACATTTAGTTGTCTATTCATTTTTTTTTAAAACTTACGAAATAATCGATCTAAGTGTTTTATTATGGATTTTGTTTAGGGTAAGCAGTTTACTAGAAATTAAATGCAAGCTACAAATATTGAAACTTATTGAATATTAACCATTTTAATATTCTTATTGCAATCAATTTGTTTATGTTACTAAGGTACCTAAATTAATTTAGTCGGGAAGCAGTAACGTGATTCTAGGCTAACTGGAAATGTCGTCAACGTTGTCCTGTTTTAGAAAATTAATTTGAAATTGATTCTTCCCTCAAATAATGAATAATTAGTATGAGGAATAAACGTCTTTAAAAGTAAAAAAGTGTGTGAGTAATTTAGAAAATCATAGAAAGATCAGTCCTTAATTGATTAATTTCATGCAATATATGTATGTGTGTGCATTTTTCGACGGTTATCTGTAACAAAGAATACACATCAGAATGTATAAACTACATTCTTTGTTGACATCTTTAATATTTTATGTTATTTTTATTATACTTAATTTCTCACAGAAATTCCCAGGCTTTTCTCTAATAAACGAAACTAAAGAAAAACTCTGCTAAAAAAGGGATCAGATACATCTGTATTACTGTCCTTGTTATGTTCTAAATCTGTTTGTTATTCAAAAATGTATACATATTAGAAAATGTGAAATTCGTTTTAAATACACCATCGTCATATTTTTAACCTCTATCAATGCGATCTGAAACACTTCTTATTTTATTTGAAAACTTGATATTTCACTTAAATATTCTTGTGCTCATGAATCTTAGGTTCCATTTCAGTTCTTGTCTCATTTCTAAAGAGGTTTTCATTGAATTTTTTCCATTCTAGTTTCGATTCCAGCTTGCATTTCCTAAAATATTTTATTCCAATCTACTTAAAAAAACACGACTTACCTGTTTCTCATTTATCTTAGTGGGTTTGCTATAAGCAAAATTGATCACTTAAAAAACTCCTACCTGGTTCTTATTTGTCTTAGTGGGTTGGTTGGGTCTTAGCAAAAAAGACCTACCTGTTTCTCATTTGTTTTAGTGAGTTTGTTCTAAACAAAATTGATCACTTAAGAAGACCTACTTGTTTCTCATTTGTCTTAGTGAATTTGTTCCAAGCAAAATTAGTCACTTAAAAAAACCTACCTATTTCTGATTTGTCTTAGTGGGTTTGGTCTAAGCAAAATTGATCACTTAAAAAGACCTACTTGTTTCGCATTTGTCTTACTGAGTTTTTTCTAAGCAAAATTTATCACTTAATTAAGACCTACCTGGTTCTCATTTGTCTTAGTGGGTTTGGTCTAAGCAAAATTGGTCACTTAAAAAAGACCTACCTGGTTCTCATTTGTCTTAGTGGGTTTGGTCTAAGCAAAATTGGTCACTTAAAAAAGACCTACCTGGTTCTCATTTGTCTTAGTGGGTTTGGTCTAAGCAAAATTGGTCACTTAAAAAAAACCTACCTATTTTTGATTTGTTTTAGTGGGTTTGGTCTAAGCAAAATTGGTCACTTAAAAAAGACCTACCTGGTTCTCATTCGTCTTAGTGGATTTGTTCTAAGCAAAACTGGCCACTTAAGTAAGACCTACCTATTTGTCATTTGTCTTAGTGGATTTTGTCTAAGCAAAATTTATCACTTAGAAAGACCTACTTGTTTCTAATTTGTCTTAGTGAGCTTGTATTGAGCAAAATTGATCACTTCCATGATTTGTACATTGCATGTTTATACTAAGATGAATGTAATATTAATGTGAACATTAGCGAAGTTTTGTTTTAATGATTATTCATGTTTTTAATTATTCCAATTTTTAGCCAATTAAGGTTTTGTAATTATATAATGTACGTAAAATTATTATTTTATCAATTTTTATAATCCTATGTTTAAAAAAAATAGACTTGCTCCGATCTCTCTCTTAGTAAGAGGTAATGGGCAATGTGTTGGAAATTTGAACATGAATCCATACAAATAGCTTAAAAGATTCTTCAAAAATTAAATGTGAAAAAGACAAATCTGGTGTTACGACTGAGGTATTTACTCTTTCTCCTCAACAGAAAGTAAAAAGAAAAACTGGCTATCTTGAAATTACCGGACTAACATACTTCTCATCATTAAACTTTTATAAGCAAATAACTCTTAAAGGTTCATAAATATATTAAAATATCTTCAAGGTTAACTTTGTCATCATAACTTTAGTTCACAATTTATATCAAGGCGATTTATTCTTTACTTGTTATCTTCCAAATTTCAGTTAATATGTCTTTAACTTACATGAATTTAAGGTAATGATAACTAACTCCACAAAATGGATGGATAATCATAACACGAAATTTCTAGAATACCCCTAAGATCATAACTGACAAAAAAACACCCTTCGGATTTAGATTGCTACTGTGGTTTGAATGGAAATTACTATATTCTATCGAATTTAATACAAAATATCATTTTTATCTTAGTTATTTTTGCCATAAAACGTTTCATGTATTTAGAGCTAAAATACCTATGAATCGAAAGCATCCATACCAAAGAAAGATCTGTATAAATCACATTTTGAATTTACTAAAATAATTCATATAGAAAGATGTAAGATATGTCTCTACATTTTAGATATGTTCCTTCTTACTTAGTTAGTCTTGAATATTCTTCAATGCGATTCGTTGAATTTATAGATTATTTTAAAAATCAGTACGTTACAGCAGCTGGAGGTCTGTCATGCGCTGATAGGCAGAGCCTATTTGTGACATATGTATCTGCAGCAGTATTTGACAATGTTGTAGTGTATTGTATACATGTACATGGATTAATGGAAGTTTTAAAAGGTAACATGTGTAATTCCTGTAAAATAATTCGAACTCTCTGCAACACACACAAACATCTGTAATTAACTTCTTTTCAAAACCACACTTGCAACAATTTTACGTGTACCAGTACCGTTGAGATGAGAACAATGTTTGAGTACTGTTTTAAACCTAATCATCTTCAGTATGTTGCATAGTGAAATATACTTTCAGAAATGAAAGCAAATGATTTTCAAGTGAAGATACTTGTGCTTTTTGATTAGTACGTTTTTCATAAAATTATGTTATATTACATCATAGCATATAGCAATATATGTTCGATATCATCCAGGCCTGATAATTAATTTAGCAGTATTATAGCCCCCATGAAAGCAAAGTTGTCTTTACTTAAATTACTTCGGTATATTTTTGTAAGTAAACATATCGAAACATTACTGATAATACTTTTAAATTAAGTAATAGAACCAAAAATTAAATATTGATAATAAAGCTTTAAATTAATTCGATCCTATAATAAATTTTTATCGTGAATCACGAAATTAGATAAACCTCTTATAACATATTATTCCCTGTTAATTAAAATTGATGAGCAAGCTACCTGTACCTCGGTGGGACATCGATAAGTCTTCGAATTTACAAAGCTAAAATCAGGCGTTCGATTCCTCTCAGTGGACACAGCAGATAGCCCGGTATGGCATTGCTATAACGAAACACACACACCTATGTTTGTGTTGAATAAAATACTGAATATGCTCCTTGATAAAATCAAATGAAAGAACAATGATAAACATAATTCCTGGCATGTTAAACTATGATTAAATCATATAGTTTGAATTAGTTTATGAAAAGTAAATCAAATTCTGATCCATGCGATTCACCAATACATATATTAATTATCTGATTAGCCCGAAGAATAATGAAATTAACAACCATATTTACAGTGTATATATATATATATATACATAGTTCGAAATTAGATACTGCATATATTTTCAGCTATGGCTAGCCAGTAAAATTTTAACAGGTTCAATCAACATACCTTAAATAAACATTTTGGATTAAATGATCATAAATAGAGCCATATTTTGTGTAAATGTTAACAAAAAACGATAATGGAACAATGAGTGAAATCGTTAATCGAAGTTAATTTAATCACACCTCAATAAGATTATCTTTATAAGCTTTAATTTTTCCTCACTAGATTATTAAACTTATTATATACCATGCCCAGATTACATCTGATTTTTATATGTACTGACTAATCAAATGTGTATTGTAATCTTACGCATTAAAAAAAAAATCTAATAGTATTTATGTAATTAGGTAGCGTTTCATTTGTTTCTTTTTAGTTGCGGTAGACTAGCAGTGTGTAACATTATGATTTTAAAGAATATTGTTCGGGAATATCTTTTATGGATGGCTGAGTTAGTTATATTAAACTAATTTGGAGCCTTACCGCGTCGTTACAGTCTATATCGCCACGTTCAGTCATGCTTTGACGAATAGCTCTGAAGTTTAGTTGTCATTGCAGATTGCTTCGTCTTAAGGCTATTACGTCCAAAGCACACAACTCATCCTTGCAAGCTTTCCGTAATTCATCTAATTTATGAAAACAACGGTTTCCCAACACCAGTTTCAAGAGTCTGATCGCAAAAACATCCGTAGCTTCTGCATCAGGCAACTTCACTGGTACGTCTTCATGTGGACATATTATTCTCCAGCTGATTGTGGTGTGAGACAGTTTCACTGAAGGTATGACTATAAGCCTTCTCTCGGTAAACTCATACCCTGTTGGTCTCGTTTCCACACAGAGATCCTTATTGATTATGTTGTCTATGTTGCCTGAGATGAATTCTTGCTTGTTATACTAGGTATGTCTTGTTGCAGGTCTCTTTGTGGACGTTGCTGTTACCCTAAGTTTATTCACATTCAAAGCCATTTAAGTAGAACTTATATCCCGCCTTGAAAAAATATTAACCCTCGATCCAAACATATCTTTTGGATTTATATCTTGCTTTGGAAAGGGCTGTTATACACCCTATTACAAAGCGATTAATTTTTGGTGGCATCACATTAACTAAAAACCACCAAACAATTTCAAAATGTAGT